AGCTGATAGCTGTATGGTCTCAGATGACCTTGCTCAGTATCTGGCAATGAGCAGGCTATTGGTTGTGGTGAACATGGGCAACCAGCACACGGGTGTCTCATCCTGCAGGAGGCTAACCTGGGCCTCCTTCTTCATGTGGAGGCAGGATTCCAAGAGCTCCAAAGCAGAAGCCATAGAACTCCTAGAAGGCCAGATTCAGGGCATGCATGGCATCAAAACCAGTTACAAGGCCAGGCCAGGTTCAAAGGGTAGAGAAGTAGACTCTACCTCTTTATTGAAGAAACTGCAAAATTGTATGGCCACTTTTGCTGTATACCATGTTCCTTCACCTGCAATGCCACCTCTGTGACTCTTTACCTCCAGATTGTAGCTACAGAGCACGTTTTCATCCCCGATCAGCTCTTCATCCCAGACAGATCAATGCCCCTTCTTATGCCATTTCATAGAGCAAAGTAAGTCCTCAACGCATATGGTGGGAGGAAGAAAGCAAAGAGGGAAGGAAGAAATGAGAGAAGGATGGTTGGTTTGGATGTGTGCCTTTGTGTTGAGCAGGTAGCCTGGTACAGAGTGAGTGCTCAATGAATGTCTGTTGGACTTAACCCAGTTCTTTCAGAGGCCAGGAAGCAAAATATATGTACTGAATAGTGATAGATTTCGTAGTTGTGCCATGTAGCTTATATATCTCATAGAATTCATTCCTCCCAATAAACTGGAGAGTAGTTTATATTATTCTTATTTTACCTAAGAAAATAGAGTTTTAATAAGTTAAGTGGCATTCCTGAGGTCTCATAAATTCAAATGTGTCTCATTGCAGAGCCCACAGACTTTCCTGACCACTCCACTCTTGTACCATGTACTAAACACTTTCTGTGCTCAGGGAGTACCCGATGCCAGGTTCACCAAGAGACCAGTTCAGGGTAGGGTGTGGAGAAGGATGTAGATTTTCCATGTGGAACTCCATGATTCCTCTTAATGGGGGCTTCTTCCCATAGAGGCAAGAACAGAATGCCTCTCAGACTATTTTTCTTTGGAGCTTTTTGAGAAGACATTACCTATCTCAGCTGTTAGGACATCTACTTCATAATCAATTCTCTCAGCTTGTCATAAACAAGAACCCTTGAAGGTATCCCTTGCTCTGGGCAGACCGTTGCCTGCTCCATTAGACTAGTCCATTGCCTGGAAAGAGAAACACCAAATGAATGACTCTGGATCATGCCTGGGGACATGATGATAGTGAGTGAGACTTTTAGTCAGAGACCACTAGGAGGAAAGGGGGAAAGGAGTATCCACTCCAACTATTGCCCCAATATTCTCTATTCCGTTACAGAATTTTGCTTGTATATTCCTTTACTGAATGTTTATTTATTGAGTCTCTGATATCTGCCAGGAATGGGTCTGGACATTGCTTAAGCAACGATGAGCAAAAATCAGGCCTGGCCTTGCCCTCTTGGAACTCTAGTGGGAGAGATAAACAGTAATTAATGAACTGTATAAAGAAGGTCAAACAGCAGGCATGATATGTGCCATGGACAAGAGCCTAAGTGTAGTGGGATCTGACCTTGACAGACTTCTTAGAATGGAGGGGTATCTGACATGAGAGGCAGGTGGGAATATCAGGAGTGAGACAGGAGCTCATTGCCTTTTAGTGCTTTACAAAAATCTATGTGCCAGCCCTGTGCTAGATGCCCAGGCTCAGCCTGTGGTTCTCAATCCTGCCTGCACGTTAGGATCACCCGAGGGTGGAGCTTTAAAAAAATCTGTGTCTGAGCCAGACCCTCAGAGATTCTGATTAAATTGCAGAAGATGCCCAGGAATCTGAAATCTTTAAAAATACCCCAAGTGACTCCCATGTACTGCCACAGTTGAGAGTCACTGAGTTGTACAGATGGAAAGGTAGGGTCCCTTGAAGCACTCATGGTCCTGTGGGAGGACATAGATATGAAAATGGAAAATTATAAAACAGCATGGTCAGTACCATGATAGAGAGAGCTGGGTACCTGCTGGAGCCTGAGAGAACCAGGAGGCAACACCTTAGCTAAGTCGTGAAAGATGAATAACAGGGAGTCTTACATAATGAAAGGACAGGACAGCTCAGCTCCAACATCTGGTTCTCGTACCAACTCAGAGACCTCACTGCACTCATAAGACCAGATATTCTTCACAGCATTGACCATATTTATACATCTATGTAATTTGTGTGACTATTTGGTCACTACCTGTTCCTCCCTAGTAGAATATCTGCACCATGACAGCAGAGACAAAGTCTGTTCTGATTCTGCCTTATATTTCTAGTGTCTAGCTCTGCCCCATGCCTACTTGATGAATGACCCAATAACTGAACAAATAACACAAAGAGGTTTTGGTAGATGAGTGACATGATCACATTTTAGAAATATGCCTTTGTAGCATGGAGAATGGATGGGGGGAAGTGAAACTCAAGGCAGGGGTTGAAGCGCTATTCAGAGTCGGGGTGGGGGAATGGAATAGGTTAGGGAAGTATTTGATAGGCAAGGCCTGAAGGACTTGGCGCTTTAGCAGCTTGGGGAGAAGAGGAGGATGAAGTCAGCAGCTGTTCCCATGCTTGTGCCTGGAGTTGCTAGAGAGTTGGTGTTCCCGTGCCAGAGGGAAGGACAAGCCTGAAGAGTAGATCTGAGTGGTGTTGATGGGTTCAGGCTTGGCCTCCTGGAGTATAACTGGATACATGAACTTTGAAGTTCAAGGGGAATATCAAAGCATCTTATAGAAACTTCATGGCACTGGAAACCTAGAACTTCCTCTGGAAGGCAGAAAGATGGAGACCCAAGCTCACTCACGCCAGTTTCAGCAATGCATGGTATTTCAAGAATGTGTGCTCTTAGTATCTCCATTAGCAGACTCACAGGTTCCTTTTGGCTTTGACATTCTGTATCTTCAGACGGCTCTAGAATTTATAAAGAGGACTTCCCCTTGAAAGGTTGTATCTGTCATGACTATTCACATTAATAGGAATGGAAAACCAAGTTAAATGTATTAAGCCTGGAAAGTTAGCATGTAGCTGCCTGGGGTCTTGTGCTGAGAAGGAGCCCGAGTGGAGGTCACACTTGCCAGGAGAGATCCCTGTGATGAATGAGTGATGTCTGCTGTGGACACAGAGAGGTGGAGTATATTCTTGCCCACTCAGTTCTGGAACCAAAGCTTTCCCTCCATGGCCTTTCAAAAGTAATCAAATAATGCCTGTTGGACTTAGGTCAACCCTGGCTCAGCCACTAGCAGTTGCTAACCTTCATTAAATCATTTCACGGGCTTGAGTTTGACAGCTCTGTAATCTATCAAGCAGGGGTTAAAATCACGGTTGTTGAAAGGATCAAATGAGAAAAGATACATGGAACTGTCATGGTCTCTATGAATTTACATAAATTCACATGTGCAGTAAAATGGGATGTTATAAGTGTGGATCAAAGAGCAGCAAATATTTCTGGTCTCCCCAGAGATATGAATTCAAAGATGTATTGATAAGAAATTAATGTAAGAAGTATAGAGGATCTTATATGGAAATAATTGTAAGACAAAAAAAAATAAGAAGAGGTCTCATAAATTTCTCAAATAAATAAGGAAAGAAGATAGGAGAGAGGGAGGGGAGGAAGGAAGGAAAGAAGGAAGGAAGGAAAAAAGAGAAAGAGAAAGAAACAAGGAAGGAAGAAAAAGGGAAGAAATCGGTGCTGGAGAGTGTGGTGAAATGGAGTGGAAATTGGTATAACTCTTTTGTAGCACAGTTGGCAGTATATATCAAGGGCCTTAATAATATTCACACCCTTTAAGAGTAATCTCACTCCAGGTAATTCATTTCAGGGCTGGATAGTAAATATCTCAGCCTTGTGGGCCAGGCAGCCCCTGTCACATGGACTCAAATCAACCACTGCAAAGCAAAAGCAGCCACAGGCAACAGGAAAATGAGTAAGTATGGCTGTGTTCCAGTAAAACTTTATTTTTAAAAATAGGCAGTGGCTGGATTTGGTCTATGGGCTATAGTCTGCCATCCTCTGATGTAGATTAAGAAAATATTTTTAATGTTATTCTAAGTTCAAAATTCTAAGTACAAAGAGAGTTTAGTCTAGAAGATTCTCCTCTCAGCTTTATGTGTATTAGCAAAATATCGGCAAAACTTGAATGTTCATCAATAGGGCGATTGATTAATTGTAATAGTCCCAGTTAATATAATATCCTGTAGGCATTAAAATCTGTCTATTAATAATTTATAACAATGGGAGGAATGCTTGATAGAATATTACATGAGAATCAGCTGTTTATAATGATAATTATGGTAATAGTGGCAGCTCATATCTAAGCCCTTTACACACATCATGTCCTTTAACTCTCCAAACAGCTCTATGAAATGTACATTTTATTGTGAATACTTGCCTTATACAGAAGCCGACAATAGTTAAAGTTATTTAGCCAGAGTTACACTGCTAGTAGTTGACAGAGCTGGGGTTTGAACACAGGTCTGCTTAACTGGAAAAGCAAACAAACACACTGATAAAAATCCCCAATTCGTTCTATTTACTACAAAGGCCAGGAGAAAAACACACTCAAGTGTTGATATTGGCTCTCTTGAGTGGTGGAGAAAGATATTTCTCCACACACTTAGTATTTTCTCTGACAAGAATATGTCATTTTAATAACGAAGAAACAACTCTTGTATTTGATAAGAAAGCCAAGGATGGCAGAACGTTAGGGGTGACTGACTGGTGGGAGAAGTGTTTATTTGAGGGGGTCTAGAGATGCTTTTGGGGCTGCCCTGACCCTCTCAGTCCTGCTTTCGTTTGTCAGAAGGACATGCCCCCGTCCTTCCTTCTGTCTGTTCCAGGTGGCGTTTCTAGTGTGTGTCTCGTTTGGACTGTTGGCCACTTGGATGCGGTTTTCCGGTTGATTTGCCAGTCCCTAATTGTCTCTCTCTCTCTTCCCCCCCCACCCTCTCTACTCTCTCCTCTGCTTCTCCATCCACCTGTCCCACTACCCAGCGGACAAGGTAAATGACGACTTCTACTCCAAGCGCCGGCACCTGGCCGAGCTGGCCGCCAAGGGGAACCTACCTCTGCACCCTGTAAGAGTGGAGGATGAGCCGCGGGCCTTCAGCCCCGAGCACGGCCCCGCCAAGCAGAACGGACAAAAGTCTCGCACCAACAAGACGCCCCCACATCCCCTGGCCTACAATTCCACCACCAACTTCAAGAGCTGGGATCCCAACGAGCAGTCTCTCCGGCGGCAGGCTTATGGCAACAAGGGCAAGCTTGGCACGGCTGAGTCAGGCTCCAGCGACCCCTTGGGAACTCGCCCCCAGCACTACCCACCCCCACAGCCATATTTCATCACCAACAGCAAAACAGAAGTGACTGTGTGAGCTTTCGCTACAGGGTGCATCCTGGAGAGCACACTCAACTGAGAGGCAAAAAAACAGTCCGGCCCACACCCTCCCTGGCCTCCCCCGACACAGCCACCCGCACACTCACTCTCCACACCAACCGACCAGCAACCTGCTGGTGACAATGGAATTACGTTTTTCCTAGGTCATGCCTAACACGTGTTGGCGGGCTGCTGAGCAGGAATGAAGCATGGACATCCAGCAATACAGCAAGGGGAAACTGAAGCACCGTCTTTTGACTTCAGGCCCAAGGTTGCCGACTCACATGCCCAAACTGTGGGGCTAATTTTCCTCTTCCTCTTAACTTGAAACTAAAATCCATGATGAAACATAACAGTAGCACAATGTAGAGAAATCGTCCATTTGAGCACATATACCATTTGCCAGGATCTGTCTGTTTCTGGGTGAATGAGCCAGGGTGCAAGGCGGGTAGGAAATGAGGGTGGACACTCGAGATGAGAGTTCTTGAAAAGAGGAGTCATTTGGGAGGAACCTGTGCACATTATAAGCATTTTCTAATCCCAAGAAGTGGCGATGTGGGCACAAAATTTTGACGAGCGTGAGACAGTAACTGGACCCTAACCATTTATAGTCCTTTTCATATCATTCATGTTGGAAGCAAAAAACAACACCTACTCAGACTTGCAAAACGTAAATGACCCTGAACCCACCAACAGTGATGGGAAAGAAGGAAGATTTTAGGACTCCCATTAAGACCATGACCATGGCTATGGGAGGGATGGGCTCTTATGGCAGGCAGAGGGTCCAGAGAGTACTAAATACATTTTTTTAGAGAAAAAAAGAAAAATGAAGTATAAACCTACTACAAAACAGACAAGAACAACAAATTCGTTTTTTGTTCCAAATCTTCAAGACTTAGGAAATCAACAATGGCATCAAGAACAATTAAAAGAAAAATCACAGCTGAAAAGTTGACAAGAGGCGAGAAGGGGACACAGAGCGTCCGATTGCTGGCACGTCCCCCTTGCCTCTGAGACAAGACACAGACACTAACCAGTCCTCCACTGTCAATCTCCGACTCCCTTCCCTTCAGCCCGTTGCCGCCGCCGCTGCCGAATTTCAACTGCTTTGGACTGAAAATGTCATAAGCGTGGGTGGTGCCTTCAATGTGTTACTGTTTAATGACAGTCTTATTTCCCAAGTGCAACCTGTGTTCTTTTAGCCTCCCTCCCTCCTGTTTTTCTGCAGTGGTAGATGTTTTCATCTTCCCTTTATTGGTGAGCCCACCCCATCATACCCTCTGAGGGGGCTGCTGCAGTGTCAGGGGTACCTAAACACCAAGATCTCCCTACCTCCCACACTGTCCATGAGTTCTACCATTTACAGCTTCCCAAACCTATTAAACATTTCTGCATCCCCTAATTCCCAGGGACCCTCCAAACCACCATTCCAGATACTCAAGTGCACTCATCTCCCATCCAGAATTCCCTGAGGTTGTATTCAGGTTGGTTCTCATGGCCAGTAGACCTTGGGTGTCCCAACAAAGGCAATTTTCATGCTAGTTCTTTTTGTTTTGTGAAAGTCCAAAGAGAGCCGTTGAGAGAGAAGAGGTCTGCATTTAAGGTGCGAAATTTTCAACTAGTCCCTAAAGTTCTTAGCTAGTTGACAGGGACCTTCAAGAGACCTCTAGCTGTTCCGATGTCAGAGGCTGCCCATGGTCCCCAAAAGACTCCGAGCATATGCTGGGATGCTGGACTCCAAGTTGTGTCTCACCCAGCTCTCCCTCTGACATTGCAGAATCAGGGAAACCCGGTGGGCCTTCTCCTGTTCGCTCCCAGCTGATCTGGAGACCTTGACAATGCTTTTGTCTCTCTGGGCTTTAGTCTTCTACCTGAAACATGGAAAGTGGAGGCTTGATCAAGCTTTTTAAGCTTTTTGAAATAACAAAACTTCAGCCCATTTTTAAAAATGAAATTGTGCACAGAAACTACTACATAAGAACTTCTTTCATAACAATGTTCTGTGCTGGATGAAATGGGTGGGAGATTTAGTGCCCACTTTCTCAGCCTCTTTGCAGGGACCCCAATGCTCCCCAGAGTGGACTAAACACCACTGGGCTTAGTTTCCTTGACTTAGTTATCTGTGTACCTACCACACACTTGGGCATCTCTGTATCACTGGCACAGTATTTGTACCTAACTCGATTCATTTTTAATACATTTGACTTTTAAAAGAAAAACTTCCTGCCATCATCACAAATAGAAAACCAGTATCAGTCACCCTAAATAGTAAGTATAAAAATAAGTACAAAGGCAACAAAGCAATTGTCAAGTTCTAGCTAGATGCGATTGCCTGTGGAAGGGTCTGAACATAGAGCCTGGTGTGTTTTCTCTCTCTCTTCCAGTCTCTCCCTCCCCCCTTCTCTCCCTCTCTACTCCCCATCTCCACTCCTCTCTCCTCACTCTCTTTATTAAAACAAGATTAACAGATACTAAAGAGCTGTTAAAGATATACCAGCATCTAATGAAGATTTTCTCCTTGAAGTAACCAGATGGACTGACAAAAATGCAAAGGGAATCATTTCGTATGTGACTCAGTGTTAATTAGTGCTATGTCCATGTACTACTTAAAACTGTTTTGCGTACGCTAGTGGTACACAGCCCATGCTTCAGGAAACACTGGGCTGGCTTATCTGGGAGGTCCCCTCCAGCTCAAACATTCTGTGGTTCTTGGCTCCCTCTTAGCTCACCTTTGCTCCTTGCTCTCAACTCACTTCATCTCACTGTTATCCCAACCCTGATTAAGGACCTTTCTTGGTCTCTAAATCTACAGGATTTTATTTATTCTCCATGTTCATTCTCCTCTGAGTCAACATCATGCAGTGACTTCTGTCAGTTGGAGGGCCTGCAGCAACAGTGTGGGCAGCAAAGCTGTGGCATGGGAAGAAGGACGTAGCAGCGATGACAGCCCCCGAAGAACAGCGCTTCTCAGTCTCGTGACCTTCCCATTGGCTTTGAGAACAAACTGAGGGGGGGAGTGTGGCCAGGGAAGTGTATCCTTTGGCCTCCTCTGGGGCGGGAAGACAGACCTCATGATGCTGCAAGAGTGTAACGAGGGATGACCTAGGGAACTGTGACCACCGTGGATCAGCAAGGACCCAACAGTTAGAGGAGGGAGACATAGAAGAGAAAGCAGAGTAAAGCAGAGAGACTGTCCCTTCCGCATCCCATGCCCTGGCACTAGCTTCTACTTGCCTTTACCTGTCCCGACTTCCAACACCATGGGACCAGAGTCTGACTCCCCTTGGCCCCGCCCCCCCCCCCAGAGTGTCTCAGCCTCCATCTGCCTTGGGCTCTGCCTGGCCTCCCCATCTAACTCCCCCCAGGTTTTTGTGCAAATGGAGCATATTTTATGTGCGAATATTTTAGTAACCGTATGTTCTGCAAGTAAACCTGTGTTAATACTCGTCAACAACTGCAGAGTTTATGATACCAATAACACTTCCTACAACGAAGAAAAAAACATTTGTTTGTTTTCTAAGAATGTTTATTTGTAAACATATGTATTCACTATATTAATATGAATTTCTTACCTGGCAATAAAACTGATTATATGTGATGCTGTTGGGGTTGCCGTGGATCTTTTTAGGGTTCTATATTCTAACCTGAGTTTTCATCAGGGGATGCCAATATTAGCATGGAGAGCTACATTTTTAATTCTTAAAGTGTATGAGAGATCTTTATAGGTAAAGGAACATTTTAGTTAATAGCAACTTATACAAATTTTCCAGGAGACTTTTCTATTGGAAGTCTTTCTGATGACTCTGTGTCATGTCTATTAGTTCACTCCCTGCCTTTAAAAAGAGTCCCATGGCTAGGTATCCATTTCATAATTAAGTTTATTCTTAGAAAATCTGGCTAAGATTTGCACTTCAGTTTTTAACCAGTGACCAGGGTTGTAAAACACATGAATACTGAAAAAATGGGAGATTGGATTCTTTGCCTACTTATTAAATTTTATTTCTTGCTTGGCTTCTGTAAGCAAGGCAGATAGAAATCTGCCTTAGTATGGTTCTCTTGAAAGGGGCCCTGAGACACAGATTTGACTGCAAGTAGTTTATTTGAGAAGTGAAGGGAATGCTGGTAGGGGGTGGGGAGGTGAGACAAAGAAAAGAAAGCAGTCAATGATGGATACATTATCATAGCAGCTGCTGCTGTGAGTGCTGGAGTTCAGTGCTGCAAGGGGAGCTGCAAAAGGGTGTGGAATTATCACACCCTCAGAATTATTGCACCCAAGTGGGGACAGAAATGGGGTGCCTACACCAACTCCCATCAGCTATCGCTCGAGTATTGCTTTCAGGGGAATGTTAATATTCAAACCATCCCAGGCTGTCATGTGCAAAGGTAGAAGTATTTTTATGGCATCGGAGAAAGCCCCAGGCACAGAGATGCACCTGCTGGTTAGTGGAAGTCAGCCATTGTGCACTGAAGTCCTGAAGACCCAAGGGAGAGAGGCACAAGTTCACAGCGGCTGCTCCAAGCCAGAGGTCCGAGGTCTCCTAGGAAAGAAGCTTCCACTCACCAGATACTTAGAGAAGTTAAGCAAAGGGGATAGTGGACCACAATCTGCAGTCAGAGTGGGGGTTCTTTCACTGGGATTTGGAGACCCTTCATTGGCCAGATGGTCACTTGGTGTCCCCCAGAGGAGAACCCATGGGCTCACTCCCTCTCTCTCTCACTCTCTCTCCCTCTCTCTCTCCAACTCTGGTTATTGAAGAAGTCTGGACAGCACACAGTGCTCCTCCAGTACTTGGGAACTGTCCAGGGGTAGAGTCACTGATCAGCACACATCACAACCCCAGGGACACAATAGAAGACAGGAAATTTGTCTTGGGGATTGAGGTGGGGTTTAAACACTAAAAATCCACTAATGAAGCCACTGTTTGGTTACAACTCACACAACAATCACATAAGGTATATTTGTAGAGCTTCCACTGTGTGCCAAATGCTGTGGAAGACTGCATGCATTGTCACATTTGACCCTCACAAATGTGTAAGGTAGGCATTATTAGCTTTGGAGGTGGGAAATCTATCTAAAACTTGATACTAAATACTGCCTGAAGTGATTTAATGAGTAAGTGGTGGAACTGGGGTTTGAACTCTGGAGCTCATATTAACTACTATGCTAGTAGTTCTCACTTGGATTAACATGTGGATCAGCGGGGAAACTTGATAAAAATGCTGATGATTTTCAAGCTTATTCCATAGAGATTCAGGTGGGGTAGGTCTGAATGGGAGCCCAGGATTCAATGTTTGTAACATATATCCCATCATCACCGAGCAGTGGCTCCTGGACCCGCCACCTGAGAGGCGTCACACGATGCCACATTCCCTGATCTTCCAACATCTATGGGCTTTCCCAGGGGCCCTGAGATCCAGAAAGAAATGGGATGGAGGTGTGTGCTTTCAGAGAGAGGGCCTTTCACTCTGGTTTCATGTCCAATATTGTAGGATCCTGTTCTATAATGGGCAGGCGATGACTCTAGAAGAACTGGTTGCTGGTATTGAGTCCAACACTAATGTGCTATGTGCCCTGGGACCTGAAACAAGCCCTCTTTGAGGCTATTTCTTCATCCCAAGAAGAAGGAGTCTGGGACAGCTAATCTTCAATCCTACTCTCTTGCTTGATTGAGTGTTCCTTCTCATCGTCAGCTTGGCATTTGGATCATCAACAGATCAAGTCCCTTATCACTTCCATAGTTTTGCTCCTGGATGACCAGGATTTTGCTGGCTGTAATAATCATCATTATTGTAAAGGCTTCTGTGCACTGAGCACTTGCAAGGCACCTAGCTTTGTGCTCAGGGCTTTGCATGGCTCTAACAGCTATGCTCTTTAAAAAAAAAAAAAAAAATTTATTGTCCAGATACATTTGTCCCCATTCTCCCACCACTTTCCCCTGCCCCACCCACCACCACCTCAATCCTTCCCCACTTTGGCTTTGTCCATGGGTCCTCTATTCATGTCCCTTGATTTGGCCCTTCTCCTTCTTTTCCTTGTTACCCCTCTCCCTCCTTCCCTCTTATTACTGAGGGTTTGTTTTTCCTTTCAGTGTTGCCGGTTATATTTTTCTTGTTGTTTGTTTTGTTGATTAGGTTCCACTTACAGGCAAGATCATATGGTACTTGTCTTTCACCCCCTGGCTTATTTCACTTAGCATAATGCTCTCCAGTTCTATCCATGCTGTCGCAAAAGGTAGTAGCTCTTTCTTTCAGCTGCATAGTGTTCCATTGTGCAAATGTACCATAGTTTTTTGATCCACTCATTTACTGATGGGCACTTAGGTTGCTTCTAGCACTTGGCTATTGTAAATTGTGCTGCTATGAACATTGGGGTGCGTAGGTTCTTTTGAATTGATGTTTTGGAATTCTTAGTGTATAATCCAGCTATTCTCTTAACTTCTTTATACCATGAACCCCTTTGACAGTCTGGTGAAGTCTGTGGATCCTCTTTCAGAATGATAATTTTAAATGCATAAGATATATAGGATTACAAAATAAACATCATAGTATCTTGAAATACAGTGATGAAAATATTTTAAAAATCCACATTTGTGATACAGTGTGGGTTATTTTTAAACTAATGCATCAAATAACAAAATCTAATAACAGGTTTCAATGTGGTGATGAACATCAACAGTTCTGTGAGCTATTTCCTAAAAGTGCCATTTAATGTGATAATATCTGTGATTCTATTGGTGACATAGTCCCAGGCCAGCGCTAATATCATGATGGTGTGTTGCATACATTTATAATTGAGAGACATACTGAATTTCAGTTAGAGGCTAGGGAAAATAAGGATTTTTTTTTTTTTATCATGCAAGTTCTCAAACTCACTGAGTTTTATCCAGAGGTCCTCCCTAGGGTCAGTGAGTCTTGGTAAGCACCCACGGGCAAGTAGGACTTACAGTTCCTTACCTATTCTCTTCATGGTTCTACTTTCTCATCTCTAAAATAGGGATAATAATAGTATTGCTATCCTTGGCTGTTGTGAGAGATAAAATAATAGATTAAAAGACAGTAATTAACACCTAGTAAACACTTCAGAGTTACCTTTTGTTATAATTATTTCAGTCAATCCATATGATAACTGTATGAAGTAGCATTTTTATTAGCCCCCACTCCCAGAAGAAGAAACTGAGGTTCAGAGAGACTAAACTTGCACGAAGTAACACAGGAAGCCGGTGAGTGACAGAGCTGATTGAAACACAGATCTTTCTGATACTACCTCAGGGTCTTGCCCACATAGCATGTTGTATAATTATTTTTCAGCAATTATATTAAATGTCCTCACAACTCTCTGGGATGAGGCCAGGCAGACACTGGGATAGATCGTGGTGATAACCCCAGTTCTCTACCCCTTCCCAAGGAGAAAGGCAGACGCCAGAGGTTTGGGAAGCTCTTGCCAGACTTGTCTGGGGATGATTTATTTAAAGGCATGTTGGGAACAGTTAATAATAATGTCCTTCTATTCAAAACAAACTTTTCCCAGCTCAGTGCTTAGAAGATCCCAATTAAGAACTCAGTGTCCAGAAATTTTCAGATTCTGTTTTTTCAATCCCTTTACAAATATAGTCATTCCCTAAACCTGAAGTAAGTCTTGCTCATAAATTCAGTCTTAGCCTTGAAAGATAATAGTCTTCACAATGATAATAATAGCATCAACTCCTTTTGTTACCAATTATTGAATTTTTATTATGTGCCAGGCATGGGGTAGGCACTGTACATATATCGCCTCATTTTCTTCTCTCAACGGTGCTCTGAGGAAAAGGTATTATTCCCGTTTTCTAGATGGGGAAAACTGAGGCTCAGAGAGATAAAATGACTCATCCAAGAGCATACATCTAGTGAGTGGCAGGATTGGAATTCAAACCCAGATTTGTATGATTCCAAAGCTAATCCCATCACAACAATTCGTTTCATTAGTTCATGATCCATTCCTATACTCGCTCCCTTTGGGGTAGAAACTCTAGTGTATACTAAAATTGTTCCAAGGAGATGGAGTTAAATCCAAGGGAGAGTGTACTCCTCTGGATCAGATGGTATCAAGAGTCAGTATCCACTCCTACTAGTTGCCACTGACCTGGAGGCATCAACCCAGCCTGCTGCTGCCTCAGTTGATGTTTCTGTACTTCAAGTCTGTTTTCCAACACAACAGAGGACCCTCAGAATGTTTTAGTGTTTCTATACAGACAGAAAGCAGGACCAGAAGTGGCCTCTGGGGCAAGCAGACAGGCGACTAGAAATTGTAATTGTGTGCCTTAATTCTCAATGACTGTGGGAGAGTCCCTTCCCCTCCACAGGAGGCAGTGTAATCTTTTGGGTAAGAGTAGGACTTCTGGAGTCAGGGGATTCATGTCTGAATTCAAGTGGCCATAATCATAGCACCTGTCAGAGGGCTGTTTTGAGAATGATATAAAGCAATCTACATAAAGCTCC